GCTTGCCAGGTTACGCACACGAGGGTCCAGAGGGGTGTGAGTCTGCAGAGACTCTGCTTCCACCGGTGGCTATCCTGGGACATCCACCATAGCACACTCCCAGAATAGAGGGTGGCCAGGTCCCATGACGTCACTGATGCTAGAGTCGTCGCTTTCAACCTCGTCATCCACGAGGTCGTGAAAGGAGGCGGGAACGTAGCTCGCTATCCCCACGAATTTGGATGTGAGAATGGGTGGCGTCAGCATCCTTCGGAGCCCCCATGCGTACGCATCCACGGGGGACACGAAGCCGTAGGGGAACCGGTCGCATGGTGGTCGTGGTGGGAACAACGGGGTCCCTCCGGAGAGTCGGTGGAGGGTATTAACCAGTGAGTAAAGAACAACATGTACGTTACTCACTGTGGAGTTTGAGCCCAGCATGGGCTCGAGGTGAAGCACGAGTGTCTCAACGTTGAGGTCGTCGAGTGGCCCAGGGCTGGTGGAGAGCGCTCCTCCTCTAGTGGACGCCGGGACGAGCGCCTCCTCGCGGAGGCGTAGCACGTCGAGCCGGTCGGCAACAAAGTCCAGACTCCCAAAGAGGAAAGTCTGGGGCGGCTAGAAGACAGGAGGAACCCACATCCCAACAGGTGGGAGTGTAGGAAACTCTAGTGAGCCAAAGTGAATCGTATCGCTCGAGCCCGCCATAATGAAGATGGTGGAAAGGTGGGCCATCCGATGACCAAAAGCATGAACGCATGGCGTCCTCCCCACGGACGGCGCCAACTGTCGGTGCAAAAAGTGACCAGCAAGTAAATATTTGTAGTTTTGCCGTGTGTTGTGATCGGATGTGGCCTAGCACACAATGACATAGGATTTATACTGGTTCAAGCAACGTGCCCTACGTCTAGTTTCAGTCGGTCGGTGACTTTATTCCTGAACCCAGGTGCTCGAAGTTTGCTGTGGGGTTACAAACGAGTAGGAATGAAAAGGGGGGGTTAGAGGCTCAGTCGGACTCTAAAACCAAGCGGCCCAGAGTGACGGGTGCTCTAACGTGCGCTAAGTATTGGAACATATGCTCTGTGTAGCTTTAGAGTTCTAGACCTTTCAAGTTGTTCGAGTCCTTGAATCGTCTAGCTTCTCTTTTCGGAGGAGAGCCAGAGAGAACGTCCAGCCTCTTTTCTTTTGAGAGCCGAGAGAATGTCCTCTAGAGAGGAGAGAGTGCATCCCCTTTTATAGTTGAAGGGGATGGCCTTACAAGTCAGAGAAAGAGAGAATGGATACGTGTGCTACCTAGTCTTGTTGCCCACGCTGTCGGGTATGAGACGGTCATCGGTGCCCATAATACTGTTTATGTCAGACGCATGTGGCAGGCTCTACCGTGTTTGCCTGGTACGGCAAACGTCGGCGCCTACAATACTGTTTGTGCTCTGACATGCCTGTAAGGTTGCATAGTGCTCGTCAGGCATGGCCTGATGGCACTGTCCTGAAGGTGCGCAGGGCATGGCAGGGTACGGTCCTTGGTATGGCGGTTGACTTCAACGCCTTACCTTGTCCGCTCTGCCTGATCCACGGGCCCTCACCGAGCGGGCATCCCTGGTCGGTCGTTCCCAGTCGGCCCTGATCGTGTCGGTCGGGGAAGAATCGCGAGCAGAGGTCCGATGTACCCCCAGTCGAAAAAGGAGGTCGGAATCGGACTGTGTCCCCACCTTGGCCAGGCCTTCCGGTCGGGGACCGGATCGTTGTTCCGGCCTATCATTATGTATCTGGGCCAGCCCGGGAGGCACGCGTTGTCGCAACGTCATCTGCTGAGCTGAGTTTTTGCAAGGAAGCGGGTCCATTGGGGACCCCGGGTTTATGAACCCGACAGCCTCCTCTTCCTCTTCTGGATCTGAGGGACGCGGCGTGGTTACGGTTCTAGCAAACTTTGGGTCCTATTCCCTCCTTCCTCTATTGAGCTTAAAGGTGATGTTGCAATAGATGTTTATCGAATGTTGCAATAGGGTGATTCATGTGTTGCAAAAAGGGAGTTCTAATGTTGGGATTTATACTTTTCCCCTAATGTTGCAACAGATGATTTAATTGTTGAAATTACCTTTTTCAAATGTTGCAACACTGAAAGGTGATTTGAGATGTTTTCCACTTCCATGTTTCATGGTTGATTTTGCGATGTTGTAGTACTACTGTTTGAGATGTCGCAGTACATATTTTTCGATTGTTGTAGTACATAATTTTTGATGTTGAACTACACATTTTCAATGTTGCACTATATAATTTTGTGATGTTGCAGTATTTATATTCCGATGTTGCACTACATAGTTTACATAATTTGCGATGCTGCACTTGAAAGTGTTTCGTGCTCTTTGGGACAGGGGCGCAGTGGGAAACGGGGCGCGGTGGGGGAATGGGGCGCGGTGGGGAACAGGGGGCGTGGCGTGGATGGCGGTGCGTCGGTGGACGGGCTGCGCGCAAGTGGTGTGGGACGGGCCGCAAGATTTTTGGTTCGCTCGTATTGTTTCTGAATTGAATCGTTACGCTGATTTGGTCGGGATCGGATGGTTCCTGTTACGACAATCAAACACCCCAAGGTGCGTTTGGATGCGTGCTCGTGCATGACGTCCGGGCGCTAGGATAACTGTAGGAGCAATGTAAGTTGTGCACATGCCGTGGAAGACAAAGAACCTGGTTCCCCTGAAGTCGAGAACCAGAAAGTTGTGAAGCCAGCTACTCCCAAGGTGGATCTAGGCCATGGCAAGAGGCAAAGGAGAGTTGTGAATTACAGTTATACGTTTGAGAACTTAGACAGCGATGATACGTATACTCCACAGGGTTCCTCGAGTTGTTCTTCTGACACGATTCTGACAAGGACAGCTATGAGGCCAATCGTGTTGAAGGGACCGTGACGCCTAAGAGGGGGGGTGAATTAGGCAACTTAAAAATCTAACTCCATACTAAAGCCTCTTTTTCTATCTCTAGCAAAACTTATGCAAAAGATGAACTATCTAAAAGTGCAACTACGGTTTTGCTAGTGTGTTGCTATCTCTACCACAAAAGGAGTAATACAATTAATATAAATGCGGAAGCTAAAGAGCAAGGTAGAGATATGCAAACTCCCGTCAAAGACTCTGGTATTTTTACCGAGGTATCGAGAAGCGCGCAAGCTTCCCCCTAGTCCTCGAGCCCCTCACAAGGAATCCCTCGCAAGGGCCAAGCTCCCGGTCGGGTAACTCCATGAATAGCCTCGGGCCTTCCCCACGCGCAAGTGGGTCTCCGACGTGCCTTCTGGCAAGCCTCTCTCGAATGCTCCCCGCCGTCTTCACTATCAAGCTTCCGGCTGAAACGCCGCGGGCCTTGTTCCCTCTGGTACACGGTGGCGGCCACACCACAAACACGGTTAGTGTGATCTCGCAAGACTACAAGCCCCTCCGATGTACAACAATGGTGCGCGCAAGCACCGAGTGGTAAGAGGTATGCAAACCTCACTAAACACTAGGCCTAAACCTAAAGCAAGCGCATAAGCGGTGGTCTAATCAACCTAAGCACTTCGCAAAGCACCTATGCTAATCACCTGATGAATCACTAAGTACTATGCAAGTGGAGATCACTAAAATGGTGTATCAACACCCTTGGTATGTTTCCTCAGCTCCACACCCTTCATTTGGCCGGTTGGGGTTGTATTTATAAGCCCCACTGAGAAAGTAGCCGTTGGGGATGAAATCCCGCTTTTCTGCTACTGACCGGACGCTAGAGTCGTCCTGATCGGACGCGTCCGGTTGTCCCGACCGTTGGAGCCGTGAACAACTGATCGGACGCTGCCAGCGTCCGGTCACCTGCCACCGGATGCGTTCGGTCACAGTTTCGCCGCTCTAGAACATCTCTGTACTCGAACGGACTCTGCTGTCCTGCGTCCGATCGATCTGCCGCCAGCGTCCGGTCGCGCCTGTTGCCGAGCCTCTTGATCGGAGCATCCGGTCACTTTCTTCCAGCGTCCAGTCACTTCTGTGAGCTCGTTTTTTCGCGATCTTGCGTACGGCTTGGTTCCTATCTTCATGCTTGGACTTTACTTGATATCTTGGGTCTTCTCTTGTGCTCCTAGGGTCTTGCTTATGGTGTTGATCATCGGATCATCACGTCGCCTTCGTCCAAGTTACGTCTTGCATCCTATTGAACTATAAAACAATCACTTGCAAGTTCATTAGTCCAATTTGGTTGTGTTGGTCATCAAACACCAAAATCCAAAGTAAATAGACCAAGGGTCCATTTTCCTTACACGTGTTTTCAGCACCTGTGCCTCCTGCACCTGAGGTTCTAAACATTATTACCCCGCGATTGGAGTTCCAGAAGCAATACCAGCACTTGAAGTACCAACGCAATCAGAGCATACTACAGAACCCTACGTATATCTATTGTCTTCCATGTACAAACCAACGCTTGTAATATGCACATCTTCAACATATTTCTAGCTACATTATTACTTATATTGTAGTCTACGTATCCAACACATTTTCTCATCTTCAAAATCTTTCCATCACTAGTTAGGTGTAGAGAGCAAAACAAGACACCCGTAATCCAAGTGGGAAATTTTCAAAAAAAATAATACTAATGCTCATGGACTCGTATACAGCATGGCCCATCAGAGGGATGCATACAAGCAGCAGCGCCGATAGATACACTCGTGATACGATCACCGGCGATTGCCCTCGCTACCGCGTGCACCCAGATCCTTCCTCGGGTGACCTCACGTGGACCCCACCCTGTTCCGTGCTGTGCAAGCGGCGGTTGGGACTTGGGAATGTTTGCTGGAGCAGAGGAATGAACGCCCCCGTGGACGTGGGTCCGGTCGCCTGCTGCCGTGGATGCGCATCGGCAGCATCTCCCCCCCCGGTCTATAAAATCCTAGCTCACCCCCTTCCTCCAGCAGCCAGTAGCCGCGCCGATCACGAATTCAAATCAAACCAACACAACCGACTCACCCCCCTCTCACCCCAAGCACCCCCAACCAGTGCAGCGCCTCGCCGCCAGCCATGGCGTCGTCGGCGCCAGATGTGGCGGAGTCGTCGCGTGCCGGCCAGGAAGCGGAGCAGGAGCCCGAGTCGGAGCCGCAGCGCAAGTGGGTGGCGTTCGTCTCCGTCCCCGTCCTCCTCGGCAACGACGACGAGCGGGCCAAGGAGATCGCCGTCGGCACCGACATGCTGCTCGACCTCAACGACCCGCCGCTACCCTCCTACCTGCAAGTGCTGCACCCCCGCGTCGCCCCCGACCCCAGCGCAACGATGAGCCGCTGTACGCCTACATCCTCGCCGCCGACCACTCCGCCTGCATCCTCCTCCAGGTCGTCAAAGGCAACCGGCCGGACTTCCTCCTCTGCGACACCCAAAGAAGTACCGTCACCTTCCTCCCCCTGTCCTCCGGACTCAACATCCGCCACAACATCGGCCTCATCACCGACCCGCACCACCACGGCCACTACGTGGTAGCCCAGCTCCACCCCACCACCTCCGAAGATTACCCCAACGGGATCCTGATTGGTCTCATGTGCTACTCCACCGCCGAAGGCCGGTGGTTCACCAGACAGCTCACCCGGGTGCGGCAACAGGTCCGCATGCGCAGCCCTTCTCCGAGACCGGCGTGCTTTCGCCCACGACGGCCGCCTCTGGTGGTTTCGCCCTCGCCTATGGCGTGTTCTTTCGACCCCTGCACACCCTTGCCGAGAGCCCCGAGCTGCGCTTCCTCCCTCTCCGGCCGCCTGCGAGACGATTGAGAATACCGCCGCCGCCCGACCCCGCATCAAGACCCTCATCGACCAGCCAGCGGCTGCGCCGGGCCAGCCGAGGGCAAGCTGCGCTTCGCCGAGATCCACGGCCTCTCCCACGACGAAGCTTGTCGACGCGTACCCACAGCTAACCCCACTGTCCGGATGTGGACGCTCGACGACCGGAGGGCCCCAACGCATGGACGTTCGAGTACGAGGTGGCCTTCGCCGAAATCTGGGAGAACAAGACCTACACCGACGCGGGCCTGCTGCCGGACGAGGTGCCCCACGTCGCCCTCATCGACCCCAACGACCACTACGTCGTCTACTTCTTCCAGGGCTCGAAGCTCTTCGGCTTGGACATGCGCGAGAAGAATGTCGTCGCCTGCAAGGAATGCTTGATAGACTGTGATCAACTCAGGTTCCCATCCTCCCACCCCATTGTCGATACCTGGGAGCTACCGCCACCGCCAGCCACGCTTCCAGGCGACGACGACTCTTCACCAGATGGTATGCACGCGTACATCTCCACTAGTTGCTCAGTTCTGAGGCATCCACTTGCCTTACCTATGGTTACTGAATCGACCGAATGCAGCATGCACATGGCTGCTGGAAATCTTGATTTGATGCTCACTGTGTGTCTGCATGCTCGGCATTCAACTGTAAATTGTGCGTGATCATACTCATACCTAGGCTAGCTAGGTCGTTGCCAACATTCATATTGGCCTATGTGCATGCTAGTTACAGTAGTATCTGAACTGGTTGATTTCCAGTTTTAGTTGGCATGCTTACTGTCTTTATTCAGATTGCAAGGGATCCTCGTGACATGTGTGCGCTTCTTCGATTCATGCCTTTGTCTTATCATTGAGAAATATGTTCATAACTTGCGTAGATGTACTACTCTGTTATGTACGCAAGGATTACAACTGCACGCGTGTATAGATGATAGAATAGAGTCACTGAATTAGTCTGAATTTGGCATGTACAAAACACTGCTTCTGTTTGGCATCAGTTCTTTATATATTCCTCTTGCGAAAAAGATTTGATTCATGAATCATGACTATAACTTCCGAGAGTATTTTGTTTTGGAATGTTGATTGTTGATTGCTTGCTTGACCATTAATTGCTGCTCTTTTGCATGCTCTTTTAGCATTTGGGTTTGGAATGCTCATTTAGAATAGAATCACTGAAATAGTCTGAATCTGGCATGAGCAGAACACTGCTTCTGTTTGGCATTAGTCACTATGTATTCCTCTTGCTCATATTTGATTCATGAATCATGACTATGACTTCCACTAGCATTTGGATTTAGAATGATGATTGCTTGCTGACCCTTAAGTATTGCTGCTCTTTTGCATGCATGCAGATAATGTTTTGGACTCGAAGCTAGATGCTTGGGAACTGCCCTCACCGCCACCCGCTCTTCCGGGCGAGAACGACTCTACACCAGATGGTATGCGCACCCACATCCCCATTAGTTGCTCAGTTTTGATGCATCCACTTGCCTTGCCTACGGTTACTGAATCGATTGAATGCAGCATGCATGGCTGCTGGGAATCTCGACTTGATGCTCTCTGTGTGTCTGCATGCTCAGCATTCAATTGTAAATTGTGCGTGATCATACTTAGGCTGGCTAGGTCGTTGCCAACATTCATATCGGCCTATGTGCATGCTAGTAACAGTAGTAATATTTGAACTGCTTTGTGCCGAATTGATGGATATGATCGCATTTTCAGTTTTAGTTGGCATGCTTACTGTCTTACTGTCTAACCAGATTACAAGGGATCCTTGTGACATGTGCACGCTTCTCTGATTCGTTGCCTTTGTTTTACCATTGACAAATATGTTCATTACTTTCGTATATGTACTGCTCTGTTATGTACACTTGAATTACAACTGCACAACGTCTATAGATGATAGAATAGAGTCACTGAATTAGTCTGAATTTGGCATGTACAGAACACTACTTCAGTTTGGCATCGGGTGTTTACAAATTCCTCTTGCAAAGAAGATTTATTCTTGAATCATTACTATGACTTCCGCTAGCATATGGATTTGGAATGCAGATTGCTGATTGCTTGCTTGATCCTTAATTGCTGCTCTTTTGCATGCTCTTTTGGCATTTGGATTTGGAATGCTCATTTAGAATAGAATCACTGAATTAGTCTGAATCTTGGCATGAACAGAACACTGCTTCTGTTTGGCATCAGTCATTATATATTCCTCTTGCTCAGATTTGATTCATGAATCATGACTATGACTTCCACTAGCATCTGCATTTGGAATGATGATTATTGCTTGCTGACCCTTAAGTATTGCTGCTCTTTTGCATGCATGCAGATAATGTAGCATTAGCACAGAGTGGCCTGGGCTCGCTGTGTAGGAAGGAGGCTTTTTGTAGCATTTGTGGCTCAAGGGTATGTCTTTCATGCTGCCCCAATCACAAAAACCTCCATCACGGTGCTGCTCTAGGCGCCATAATCAGGGTAAGTTGAATACCCTTCCACCATTTTCACGGCAGCACGGTGTATGTGTGAAGGGCAGACAAATAATCCTTGCTTTACAGATATGTATGACCAAAGATGGCGCAGCGGTAGATGCTCGAGATATCAAAGTCAACGCCATGGGATATAATTGGCAGCTTATTCAGAGAAGGATTCATGCTGGCCGGAAATATATTATGCTGCACGAGCCAACGCAAGACCAGAGGAATGTGGACAACAGTCTTCAGTGCCGTCGCCTAGTGAAGGCAAAAAGCGATTACTGCAGTATGAAATGCAAGGTAAGTTGGTTCACATAAAGAATTGGGTTCTGAATCGTTATGAATTTGGGTACCGATTTGTGTTCTTGTGCTGTCAGGCTCTTCATAGGCCGTTTGGACGGAACACACATGTCGTCAACGCGTTGCTTCAGTGTGACTTCGACCAACCTGAAGTCCGAGATAGGTTCTGCATCATTTGTAGGAGGGCCTACGCCTCAGCACATTGTGCTGATCACGACCTACACCATCACGAGCAAGCGGCGGCGGCGGCCCCAGCTCCTCCACCCGAAGTGATTGTTTGATAGGATGAGTGACGATTTTCTATTCTGGGACTACCGATGGTTGTGTGTCTTTTAACTGATAATCAAACTGTAATGGTTTTATAGGATGAGTGACGATTGTTTCTATTGGACCTGACCCGCCGATTGGTACGGTTTGATTGCAGCCGCAGCATCGCATTGTTTCTGATGTGCGGCCAAACTTCAGTATTTGCTGTGAGTATCCGTTTGTTGGATGTAAGTATCCCTTTCTTGGCTGTGAGTATGCGATTGGGGCATAATAGAATGTAGGTTTATGCATCCTCTGCTTTGGGCCCTGTTTAGTTCACCCCAAATCCAAAATTTGGCACTATGCAAAAAGAAGATTCCCCATCACATCAAACTTGCGGTACATGCATGGAGTACTAAATGTTGACGAAATCAAAAACTAATTGCACAGTTTGGTTGTACTTTACGAGACGAACGTTTTGAGCCTAATTAGTCAACGTTTGGACAATTATTACCAAATACAAACGAAATGCTACAGTAGCTACTGTAGCTACAGGCACTACGGCGGCGCCGATTCTGGCCTCAACTAAACGAGGCCTTGGTTGTCCCAAAGTTATTTGACTTTTTATTTTGGTACATACAAATTCGTTCTGGACTTAGGCACAGATCCTTTTTCTATGTTCATCTTGTCTGCGCCTTTGGTTTATACAAAGACAATTGTTGCACCATAGGCCCCTGCCATGCTTCCATTCCATACGACGGCTGCCGCCGCTCTTGCCTCTTGGGCGTTCCAAGCGGCGGCCACGGCGCCACGCTGCAATGGCATTGGCAAGAAGTCAGTCGGCAGAAACAGCAGCAGAAGCGGGCCAAGCTGCTGACACTGGGCGGAGGTGCATGATCGTCGTCAATCAGTACCCGCCGCCGGCGGACCCCGTGGCATCATCCACGGCGACGTCGCCGAACACGCCGCTGCCGCCGCTGTAGAACCCGGCGAAGTCGACGGCCTCGGGGCCGAGCGCCACCATGATGTCACCGTCGAGCAGCAGCCTGGCCCGCTTCTAGCCGCCCTCCGCGACGGGCGGCTCGGCGGCGGCGCCCGAGGTGAGCCCGTTGTCCGGTACGGCGGCGTCGCCGACGAGGCGGTGCAGCCTGTCGCCGTCGCCGACGACCTTGAGGAGGAAGGCGAGCATCTACTTGGGCCTGCGCTCCGTCTCCTGCACACGGCGCCACATGGAGGCGACGCGGTCGTCGATGGCGCGCTGCTCCTGCTTGAGGCGCACCACCTCCGTGGCCACCATGGCCATGTCGTCCCCGGGGCCGGCGGACGCTGCGTCCTTCCTCTTGCCGCCGCCGCCTCCGGCACCGGCGGCGGTGCTGCTGCCGCGGCGGACGATGTTGCGCAGGAGGTGGGTCTGGCTGCGCAGGAACGACGCGTGCGCGAACTCCCACCGGTCCGGATCAACCTTGCGGAAGCCCTGTTGTGTGGAGCCAAAATAGCACAATCTGAATCAGGGCAGCGAACTACTACTAGTACGGTTCTTGGCTCTTGCGGTTTATCAAAATCGAAGATACAAATTCTTACGTCCTGTACATAGTTTTAGCCTTTTCGGTTCTTGCACAAATCCATAGTAAAACAGGGCAAAACAAATTTTCTCCGTGCACATTCAGGGTGCAATTGAAAAAAATTGCACAGCCCACGGTCCACGGTCCATCTCTATTCTCTGCCCATGTTTGTTTACGTGTTTCAGTCATCACTCCAAAAAATTAAAAAATGTTTTTGAGAATTTCATTGCTGCAGCTCGCCAGCTTACAAATTTCTTTTTCCTCTAACAAAAATCATTTAGGGGCCTTTTGGATCCTTTATTTTGAAGAAATTAAAATCTACATAATATATTAGGCTATTTGGCTTAGAATTTAACATTCCATAACATTTCTAAGCTCACAAATAAGCATATCTCAAATTCATAGGGTGCGAGATGGAAATAGATTCTATAGATCACTATGTTATAATTCTATTCTCTAACTTATAGCACATTCTTCAACTCACTTCCCTACAATAGAAATGCAACATATAAGTATGTCCCTTGTATGTCTAACAATAAATATACAAATATATTCCATATACAACTATATTAGCTTAATTAATCTATGTCTAAATTATAATTATTAGAATAAATTTAATTCCAAGGATCAAACGGGCCCTACATATTTGTGTTAGTACAGTATGGCAAGAGCTAGCATTGGACACACGCCAAACACTCACTGAAACAATTTCCATTTCCCTCCCAAATAAAAACCTCACATCAACCTACAAGAGATTCTGCAGTAGTATATACAGATCCAGCACACTCCCACTCGCACGGAGGGTCGTTCAGCTTCAAGGAAGAGAGATGGCAATAGATTTAGTACTTCCTCCATTCTAAATTATGTCTAGATGTATAATAAAATGGATGTACTAAAAAAATCAAAGCGATTTATAATTTGAAACGGAGGAAGTAGCTAGCTGCAGTGATATATTTAACTGACATAGCTGTTGAGCTGGCGGACCAAGCTAGAGACGTTGTTGTGCTTGAAGCGCGTGGGGAGCAGCGTCTGTGAGAAGACGTAGGGGTCGGCGACGACGAAGCTGTTGTTGCCTTTCCCCAGCCGATCACCCCGCCCGTCCCGGGGTCCTCCACCATCATATATGTCTTCCACACGAACGGCGGCGGCGCCCGCTGCCATCGGTTCCCTTACCTTGCCCACTTCCGCTATGTTATATATATCGTCATAGTTCACTTCTCGAGCTACCAACTAATATATCTCGCAAAATATACTACTTCAACAGTATTTTTCAGCGAACGAACAGTGTTTTCCTCTCACAATAAATCAGAATAAGTATCAACATAAGCCAAACTTCAGCGAAATGAATGGGGCCTGCTGGAGGAACAACCGGAGGACATTGGGGGGATGTGGATATGGTGGAAAGGGCCCGTAGAAGGTAACATGCCGCGGACGCGAAACCACGCCTGTCTTCTGTTCGACTTGAGGCGCAAGGCAGCGAGAGACAACAAAGGGTGATTACATATTACACTGGATTTTTGCTCTTCTTTCTGTTCATTTGGTATGTGATTGGTGATTAGTACACTGTACCTAGACGAGGTAGGCCTGCATGTTTGTTTACATAGACAACACTTTGAACCTCTCAATAGATAGACACTCCGAACCTCACAATAGATTTCAGAATCAGGCCCCGTACAATCGAAATTTTCGTTCCTCACAAGCCTGACTGGTTTGATGGGAGTCCCACTTATGTACTCCGTACGTAGACTGTAGAGAATGCTCAGCACATTTTGACAGTGACTAGCAGCGATTAGATTTGATGAAACCAAACAGCGTCTGCGTCTCTGTTGCACTTAGTAAACCAAACATAAGCAAGTACGTACTAACTATATGCCTCATAACAGGGTTTAGCTGATCTGGGCTCTAAAAAGTTCATCCAGGGCCGACACAACTAAGGTACAATCACGACCTTGATTGAACACGCTGACACACCACGCTGAAAGAGCAGGCTCAGGAAAGGAAAAACAGATCGGAAAAGAGGGGTTCATTCGTTCTGCCTTCTTTTTTTTTATGAAAACAGGAGGGGGTGGGGTTCCCCTGCTTTGCTTTATTACACTATTCAACGCGCGTGCGCCAGTCACATTCGCGGCGCGCACTTTCTATTTCAAGCGCTGTTTTCTTTTACTCCTATGTCTGGAACAATACTAAGCACTTTCTGTTTTTAGAGTTGTTTTTTTTTTCGTGGGACCCGGTGTGGAGGATAGACGCGGGGAGGGAGGCGCATGCGTGTGTCAGATTCTGTTTTCATGAAATACTCATATGCTACATAAACTTTAAAATATGATAACTTTCTTATCAAACATTTATTTTTAAATCCGTTTGCACCATTACGTTCATTATGACGAGATCTATAAAAGTAGATCCATATTGGATATGTTTCAAAATAATTTTCGTGATGATAAAGTTTTGCACGTAGGAGTATAAAGTTCCAAATGCTGTAGTACAAAGTTTCAAACCTTAGAGTGTAAAGTTTCGAATTACAAAGTTCCATTTTAGGTATATAAAGTTCATAGCATGTCAGTACAAAGTTTAAAATGATTCTTGAATTTAGGTGTGTAGAATTTTAAAATCCCAAAGTTTTGAATGTGCTAGTTCCTGAATTTAAAATGTAAAGATTGAAATTACAAAGTTTTAAAGATTGAAATACAAAGTTTTGAATGTGCTAGTATAATGTTCCTCAATTTTAAAAATAAATTTAAAATTACAAAGTTTTAAATTTTAAAGTAGATTTTTTAAATGTGGTAGTATAAAGTTTGAAATTACAAAGTTTTAAATGTGCTATTATCAAGTTCCTGAATTTAAAAATAGTTTGAAATTACAAAATTTTAAATCTTAAAGTATAAAGTTTTAAATGTGCTAGTATAAAGTTTCTGAATTTAAAATATAAGTTTGAAATTACAAAGTTTTTAAAGATTGAAATACAAAGTTTTAAATGTGCTAGTATAAAGTTCCTGAATTTTAAAAATAAAATTTGAATTACAAAGTTTTAAATCTTAAGTAAAAAGATTAAAATGTGCTAGTATAAAGTTCCAAAATTTAAAGTGTAAAGTTTGAAATTATAAGTTTCAAAGTTTTAAATGTGCTAGTATAAAGTTAAATGTGCTAGTATAAGTTTTAATATGCTAGTATAAAGTTCCTGAATAATAAAAATAAAATTTAAAACTACAAAGTTTTAAATCTTAAAGTAGAAAGTTTTAAATGTGCTAGTATAAAGTTCCTAAATTTAAAAGTTAAGTTTGAAATTATAAAGTTTCAAAGCTTGAAATACAAAGTTTTAAATGTGCTAGTATAAAGTTGCTGAATTTTAAAAATAAAATTTGAAATTACAAAGTTTTAAATCTTAAAGCAAAAAGTTTAAAATTTGCTAGTATAAAGTTCCTAAATTTAAAATGTAAAGTTTGAAATTACAAGTTTCAAAGTTTGAAATACAAAGT